GACCCTAGAAGCTATGAAACTATGAAACTAAGATTAGGGCTTAGAGAGTATAAAGTGCAGTGTTGTGACTGATAAGGGAAGAGAAACCACACAGCAAGCTTTGCAATAAAGTGAGAGCTGTTTGAGCTTCTCCTGATTGTTTCCCCTACCATTATTGACATCCATTATTTATACTCCAGGCTCCTTTTGGTGTGTTCTCATGCGACTGCTGGGCCAATGATTTGTAGCTGCTCTTCATGCTCCTGTGCTCTGTGGGAGTGATAGCGATCCCATGGAAGTAAGGAAGGCTGGAAGCAGCAAATGCTCATAGAGAAGGAACTGCCAGCTGGCCAGCTCTGGCATATAAAGGTCACCTTTGAATATTCAGTGTACAATGTCTAGATACTTTATTCCAAGCGTTATTGGGATAAGTCAGTAAACACCTAATTGAAGGTTGTTATTTTTTTTATTCTTGTTAACTGTGTGTGCTCCTTTAAAAAGGTGCTCAATTATTCTGAGACAGCCTAATTGCAATGTGATGTGTCAGTTGCTATGGTAACAGGTCATATGAAGAGCCAAGCAATTAGGTGAGTAAAAGCCATAGAAATCATCCATGTGTAAATTTACTTACGCTGTAATGCCTCAAAAGCACGCTTAGCCTCTTCTTGCCGACTGTTGTTGTGATTAGTATGTAAACAGGAGGAGCATTTGTCAGCTGATTGGAGTTGTTCCTTTTGTGGGGGGTGGGAATTAAACAATGCCTTAGTGCAGAAAATAAATTACCAGTTATGGTCAAAGCTCTCCTGAAAAGTCTCTCTTCCTCTGGCTTTATCTCTTATTTAGTTCTCTGCCATAATTCAGCGCTGCAAAGCACTTGAGGAAACTGTTTATATGAAATATAAACTAGGCAGTATCAAGCTTTCTTGCAGGACATAGAAAATCATCTTGGAAACATACCTGTTGTCTGTAAAAATGTAACAATGGTGACTCAGCCACAAAGCAGTATCAGAAACGCACTATTTATAGGGATTCATAAAACAAGACGAAGCTCCTCTGCTAAAAATCTTATACTAACTTTCTGTGTTCCTGTTGCACTGAATAAAGGAAAACAATTAACACACAAAATTATGAGCCTGATTCCCCTCTCATTTCTCTTGCTTTAAGATCACTGGGAAACCATTTTCTTCACAGCATTTGATGACATAGGCTACAAAAGCTCATGCCTCTGAAACTATTACTCTCTAAGGTGCCACCCTGCTCTGCCTTCTGCCTCACTTCAGTGGAATTACTCCTCTTTTGCACTGGTGTAAGCCATGGGTGTTAAATTTACCCCATGACCCAGGCCAGATCTGGACCATGGAGCTTCTCACAGGTTGGATCTGTGGGGCAAGTGGCAGCTGTGACAAGGACAGTAACAGTGGCAGCAAGGGCAGCAGTAGCAAGGCCAGTGATGAAGCTAACAGCAGCAGTGGTGAGCCAAGCAGCTGCAGGGTGAGCGAGGCAGTGTCAGCATTGTCTTCACTTGTCTGCCAGCTACTGATGCCCATATCCAGCAGCGCCACTGCGTCCTGGATTGTGTCACAGGTCCCACCCCCATATTCCATAGCCTGATGGGCTGGATGGAGTGGCTCTGTGGGATGGATATGGGCCATGGGCCACATGTTTAACACCCCTAAGCAAGTGTAAGCAATGCTGTAAGAAAGCAATCAAGTCTTCTACCTATGATATACTCCTTTAATGCTGCAGTTAGCTCTAAGCCACAGCCACTGAGTCATACATTGATTTATTTCATAAAGCCTTAATGATGAACCATATAAGAGCTGAAAAGGGATGACAGAATTTTTTTCATAGGCTCTTTTAAGCCTACGGCAGTAGATGCTTTGTTAAGTGAAATGCCACTGTGCATTGCCATAACAAGGGAAATAAAAATAAAGATTCCAATATTCAGAAAGCAGAACTGCAAATGTCAATTATTGACCAAAGTGAAGTGAATAGAATGGACAAAGAAATTACTTAGAGCTGAGTCAGAAGCTAGGAGCCTCACTTCTTTAAAAAATAGAACATGGTCTATAAAGCTAGTGAAAAGATCCTCATTTAATGCCTAAATAGCCCTGAAATGCCGTGAGCTGCATTATGTGAAATCTTTGGCTCTCTGATACTGTTTCCTGTATTTTTAAGTCTCCTGTTTTAGACTAGTGGCCCTGGTTCATTTCTATGCAGTTTGCTTGTGGAGGGAGCCTGCTGTTCATGGTTCTCTCCCTGCTCATGTAGAAAACAGAAATTTCACCTTCATGGCAGTGTATTTCTCTTCCTACCCACTCTTCCTCTTCCACTAACTTGGGATTCTTCATGGAAAGGGCTTTGACATAATTTGAGACGGAATGGGAGGCAGAAGCGGGGTGAAAGGCAATGGAAATATGCTGAAGTATCTTGCCTTACTAAGGCTGTGGATGTTAGTGCTTATGGTAGTAGCACTTCATAGAACAAATCAAAGTTTTGCCCTAGTGTATTAGCACCCACTGCTAAGTAAAGGCAAAATGGGTGTAAAACACTGCTGTTTGACAGCATTTATACCCACCTTGCACTTGTGTACATAGCTGTATCAAGTGCAGAAGAATGGTTAATTAGGCTCCTGGCTTCCACGACCCACCAGCTTGGCTGTCCCTATGGCTCAATCCTGCGACCAGCTTCCCTCATTGGACAGATTGAGAGTGAATGTGAATGTATGTAGGGGCACTACATGGATAGGAGTATGTGGAGGAGAAACTAAATGACTATGACAATGGAGAGTGTATGAAGGAGTGAGCGAGCTAGTTTAAATGGAAAAAAAATAATTTGGGTATGAGAGGATGAATGAGTATCCAAGAGCATAATAGTCAATGACTGTCCATGAGGAAGAGGCTAGATGTCAGAGAAGGTAGGGCCCTGCCCTTTACTGTACTTTAAGAAGCTCATTTCTGGAAGGCTAATTACATTGTTGTTACTTTTTTGTGACTTCCAACTGGTATTGCAAGGTAGCCACCTGTCAGTGCAGGGGCAGCAGCATTCTTGCAATGGCTTTACTCTCTAGGGGTGCGTCCACACATGCAAGCACGTGCACTTGCAGCAGCTCAAATAGAAGCAGTGCAAATCTGAGCCGGGGCTTTTTGCCTCAACACATATTCTCGGACATGCACTTTGTTGTGGAGAAAATTGTGTCACTTGGGGCAAAATAACCCTGCCTGGCTCCTCCCAGATCTGCAGCCAGGGTGAGCTAGAGCCTGGGGCCAGCACCTGTGCTGTCCCCAGCAGTATAAAATGCCACCCTGGCAAGTAAGTAGCTCAAGGCTACTAGCTCTCAGGAGCTTTTGGGTGCCTCTACTTACCCTAGAATGAGGGCTGGGGGGACTCTGGGGCCTTCTGGCAGAGCTCCCCCATGCAGCACAGAGTAGTGGGGAGCAGGAGGGCCCAGTCTGGGGCCAGTGGGGCTGTTCCTCTGCCCCATGATGTGCGGGAGGGCACCAGTGACACAGATGGCAGCAGAACTGCCAGTAAGTGCTGGGGTTTTGTTTGTTTTTTAAACTAACTATGGGGATGCTAGGGTGGGGGGGTTGTTCTGCTTCCCTTGTCTCCGGCTGCTGCCTCTGCCGCGCAGCTCCAGGCGGGCGGGCAGCTCCTGCCCAGCGCGTGGAGCTCCGGCTCCCGGCTGCCTTC